TTACACATGAATAATTTGTGATTGCTTAGAACAAATCTTCGGCCAGAAAGCAGATACTGCGTTGAATTCGATCTTTTGCTTGCATCTATAGGAGACGAATGGAAACCCCCCGTTTTTCCCTCAAAGCAGAATTGAAAGATACTCACCGCTTGTAACCCGAAACCCTGAGCACAGAAGCTTTTCAGCTTCTTAAACAACTGATACAAATGACAAAAGCCATCGATTTCGCAAGCTGCAGGATAAATGCTTTTAAGGGGAGGGGAGGGCAAGTTGCAAATGAGGTGCCTGCGTTGGAAATGTTTGGGAAAGGTTTTCCTCCGAGGTGCCTGGAAGGGGAGTTCAAATCCGATATGGGTGGGGGGAGGTGTATTGTTCTCGGTTTATGAGGTATGCCTCAGAAAACTATCCCACAGGTTTTTTCAATCTCCGGTAACGAGCCACAAGGACACCTGGCCTATTACACTGTAAAGCTATTTTTTATAAAGACGTTTTAGGGCTAGACATTAAAAGTTATTAGACTGAGTACACGTGAGGTACAGACACACAGCTGGAAGGAAAAGGGCCTCTGATCTATATTTTTCCCTAGCTAGAAAGAGACAAAATCTGGGGCGGGGGAGAGCCCTCGTTAAAATATTCGGCTTCGGCTTCCTTTCGCCAATCTGTAAACGTAATGGTTTGCCAGCCCACTTGTTCGTAAAACTTTTAAGCTTTTGTCCTCTTCAGGCTTCCAGCAGTAGCCTCCCAGTAGTGGGGGTGGGGTGGGAAAATGGGCCCGTTCGTTAGTTACGGCAAAACTGAGCTTTATTAGTCGTTTTTTTTGTTGGTTGGAGACCATATCATCGGGTGCCTGTATAGAATGATGCCGTGGGTGTGAGGCCCTGGCCTAGTCAAAAAAAGATCCGGAGACTTATACTGTAGTGAGTAAATCCGGGACTTCGTAAAGAAAACCTTCAAATCCATTAAAAACCCTTTGGAAATGCTGAGTACAATAGAGCTGATTGAACCCAAACACTTGAATTTAAGGCCAAAATACTCGAAATTAATGGCCTTCCATTAGCGCCATTGTTCAGCCATTTATAAACATCGTTGCCCGCATCTGGCGATACTTTTTTCAGATCTTCGGGATTCCTCGGAAATTCTGTCGTGCATTGCCTTTCCAAACAAGCCTTACGCGGAAACGCTGGCAAAAAAAAAGAGAAAAAAAGAACAAGCCGCGGTTGCTTAGTTTTATTTTGTGCCCTTTTTGTATGTTGTTTGTCTTCCTGTTCCCTCTCAAAATTCTAAGAAATTGCAAATCCGAGGGCCGGTGGGGACCGGGTGGTAGGTGTTTCCCGGAGTCCCCCCCCCCACCTCCACCCGCTTCAAGTCTTCAGCCTGGCGTTGTTTTGCTAAGCAGACTCGAAAAGATCGACGCAGCCGAAGGAACTGAGGCTGCAATCAGCGATCCCCTTTCTCTCATCCACCCCCCCTTCCTCTTCCTCTCTCGCTTCCTCAGGGAACTGACCCGGAGGTCAGGCTGTTGTGCGCTGC